AAWTTTATGGTGAGGCACAAAGACCTTTCCTCATCTCCACACATAAACTGGAAGGTTACTAAAGGGTAATCATGCAGCTATTGCTTCACATAATTGGAAACCATTACCATGAACAGCTTCTAAGACGCCTGATGCAACAAAAAAATAAATAAAAAATGTCGAGTATAAAACCAGCTTCAGATTTCTTCACATTGTGATGATTCCTACTGTTTACATTTACATAAATGCAAAAACACAAGAACTAATAAACACTGCATCACCTCTGAGTGTTTACATGTTTTCTAGCTTGCCTGAATTTTAAAAGGTAAAAACAATAGTTTTAAAATGGTTCCCAGTGCTGCACAAAGTAGATAAGAAGCAGTTTGCTCTTATCCATGCGCAGCGTTTGCTGCCTCTTTCTGAAAATGAACTCAGTTGGTTTTCTGTTTTGTAGGATGACAAAGCTGCGCTCAGAAGAGACCATCACAGAAACTGAGCGTGTCAGAGGGACAGCGTGACGGACGGCTGAAAGACAAAATGACGGAGCTGTTCTCAGGCAGCTGTAGGCATGGAAGCTGGAAGCCAGCAGGAAAATAGAAAGAAAAAAAAATTCTGTGCTGCATGTACTTTTTATTCCAGCTATTTCCTCCTCATTTCACTGAATCACCAAGTGACACAAACAGAACTGAGTCATTTACTCTCAGCAGGCCGAGGAGAAACGAGGCCACAGAACAATGAGCACCTTGATGGACAGAACGGCTGGCGTGACGCACAGAGGGAAGAAGCGACACAAACTGAGCTGTGATTTTATTCTATGTAAGGCTTATTGTTTTAATCAAAGAACCTGATTCATTTTCAAACAGCCTGAACTCGGACATACCATAATTATCAGCAGCTGCAGAAAGGAGAAGGCAGATAATGTTTCTGCCAGTGTCTGTGTGCTCCACTAACTGTTTGGAGTCAAACCCGTTTGTTAGCAAAATATCTCATGAACTACTTATGGATTATAATGAAACTTTCAGAAAATTATTAATGAATAATACAAGATGGCCTCYACAGGTAATCAACAAAAACGGCTACAACTCAGTCATTTTTGACATTAGCAATTCACAACACATCTGCTGCATGAGAATGTGCATCAAATTATTTTGAAGATTTGCTAAAAGGGCTCCAGTTTTGTCATTTCTTAGCACAAGATGATTTTAGTCTAAACCGCTGGCATTAAAAAGTGGAGGGTGATAAGCAAGTATTTAGCTTGTGCTGATTTTCAGGTTTGCTGATAGTTGGTTTTGTTACGATACATAAACTTTGTAAGCTTCTGTAAACTTTGTAAACAGCGTCCAGAGGCCGCAATGATTTTAGGAAGCTACAGGAAGACACAAAGAATAAATTGTGCCAGCTTGAATAGAGGAAGTAGGTAGTGATGTCACAGCTTCAGTAGCTGCCGTTGCGTGTTGTTTCCACAAACTGCTCCTGGTCCGTCTCTAACTTTATGTAAATTTTGCAAACTTACATAAGCATGGAGGGGAAGAGAGCTGAAAGTGTCGACGACCTCTTATAAAATCCTGTTGATAAGCACTTCTTCAAAGAAGGCAAGGCCTAAAACCTGATCTATTTAGAGTCTGATTAGCTACACTTCATTCACCTTCCTGCCTACAGTAGAAATCTGTCCTCCTCATCATTTAGACACCAAGATCCTGACGTTCAGCCTCACAGAGGAAACAAACTGATTTAATGAACAGAAACCAGTTCTCATACCATGACTGCTGGTGGTGCTGTCCTCCTCGGTGGGTTCTGCTGGCAGCACGGTGACCTTGGTGCCGGTCTGCTTGATGAACTGTTGGAGGTTAACCTGCCTCAGCTCTTTGGTTAGCTGCTCCAGATCCTGCTGCATATCCTTCAACAAAACAGCAGAAACAAAGCAGATTCTTCAGAATAAAACAAGAGTTCTGTTTTGATGTTTAGCTGTTTAGAATATTTCTGTTACCCAAATCACGTATCAAACCGAATTATAAACCATTAGTTATTATTGTTTGTTTGGCTTTATTTCTGTAGAAATTTAACTTAACAACTATGTAAAAAAAGATGGTGTATTTTGCTAGTAGCAGCTTGTAGTGTTCACACARGGTTCCCTGAAAATGATATAAAAAATATAAAAAATCAGCAAACACTCAGGTTTATGATGTTGAAAGAAAATTTTGAAAGAGCTTCAAAAATGCTGAATATAATTACCAAAAATAATAAGAAAGTTTTACTACTTGGAAGCAGAATCTYAAGAAACCTGTGTTGGATTAAGACTTTTGAACAGTACATACTGTAAGAGCAGTAAACAGGCCGACACAAAGGTTTGTGCAGTAATTCAGAAGCAGATGGGTTTAGCTTAATTACATCCCAYCTGATTAATGGGCTCTGTTATCAGAGCATCAAGGGTCATTATTATTCAGTAAAAAGAACATAAGATCCCAGAAATCCCACCTGCAGTTTCTTACTGCTCTGTCCCAGCGATCTGTCCACAGCCCTGCAGCTGCTCTCCAGCTGGATCGCCTGCCTCTCCTGGGCTTTTAACTCTGCTTTGACCCTGAGGAGCTGAGCCCGAGCCTCGGCCTCGCTGACCCACTGATTCTCCTGACGTTCTCTCTGCAGCTTCTCCTCCTGCAGACCGGCTTCCACTCCCTGATGGGGAGGAGAGAATAAAAAAGTTGGAATAAAAAAAAGAAAAAGAAATCACCTATAAATTCAAAGCTGCATCATAAGAAAGATTTAAATATTCCTCCTAGATTGATAAATTATCTTTACTGGAAGCCCACCTGCACTATTGCCAGCTTCTCTTCGATGTCGCGCTCGCAGCTCTGCAGACGTCCCTGGAGCTCCAGCAGCCTCTCCTCCAGCTGTCTCTCACTCTCCAGCTCAATCTGRAGCTCAGTGGCCCAAAACTCCTCCTCCTCCATTTCCACCTCATTCTTCCTCAGGTGCTTTTCTAACCTCAGGATCTCCTCGATCAACCCCGCACCCAGGTCCGCAGTGCACCCACTTCCTCGGAGCCCCCGCCCCTCAGACCACCCTTGGAGCTCCGCCTCGTAGGCCTCCAGCTTTTTCTCCAGCACGCTCAGAGTCTCTCTCTGCAGGCTGACCAGTCTGACCAGATCCTCCATGCGACAGGCCCACAGGCCCGGGGAGGCTGTCCCGATGGTGGGCCCCGCGTGGTGGTGACCGCCACCATTTCCCAGGAGMAGTTTTCGCTTGCACTCCGCCTCCGAGGCCCGACCTCCCCCCAGGATGTCCCGCAGGCCTCTGGGTGCGCCGGTGAAGGTGAGCGACTTGCGGCGTGGTTCGCGGCGGTGCAGGGAGCCGTCTACTGGGTGCCGYAGCTTGGCGAGAGGAGGGAGACTTTGACGATGGAGCCCACGTTCGGGACCCCTGAGCGGGGGGCCCTCTGAGGGGGGGCGTTCAGTCAGCGAGGGGCCTGTGCGGTGAAGGATCAGCTGGACGTCACCGGCGTACTGACCCCAGGTGTTCAGAGAAGCCACGGGGCTCTCGTGTGGGGCCAGGTGACGCTCAGTGTCCCGCCATTTCTCTACCAGAGTGTATCTCCCTGTACGACCTGTACATTCAAAAAACAAAAACATTTAAACTGATGACTGTAGACAATACCACACTGCAAGGATTGTAAAATGAGTTAAGAAGCTTAAAGCAATTTTGACCACAAGAGAAAAAAAATAAAATAAAACGTTATTTTTCCTAACACAATCATGTTTTTTTGAAGGAGACATCGTGRGTTTAAATCCTCCTTTTTCACATTTAAATCATTCAGTTTGGGCCTATATGAAGTGGAACTGCAATGTTTTGTCTGAATTCCTTCTTATTGTAGCTCCACAAGCCCCTCTTTCACCCCTTTTCTGAGGTGCATCTCAGATCAACTCATTTTGAGGCTGTCTCTTTAAATATAAAGATATCTATGCAGCACCGGGACAGACTAAATTTAACTTTTCTGCACTCCTAGAGACACCGAGTACACAACAAAAGGCATTTAATGTAAAAGAAAAAGTGGATTTTGCATGTGTCCTCTTTAAAAGGATAGTTCTTCCCAAACAAACCTTTTTTGTAACAAATTTATTTATGCTTTGAGAAGAAAGTTCCATGAATCAGACCGTTAGAGGTGTACAGACAGCTGCGAGTCTTAAACGTCGAAGTAGAAGATCAATATTGATGCTGAATCACTCAGGATGGTGTCTGTGTTAAATAAGAAACAGTAGATGAGGAGCTCTGAAAGAAGTGCTGCTTTCACAGTTTGGCAGCCGACAGAGGGATGAGTCAGACTTTCCCTCCTCCTCCCCTGTGCTTAGTGGGAAGTGATGTCAATACATTATGCTCAAGTGCCCCCATTCCTAAAGCAGCCATATGAGAAAGTGGGGGCTCAGAACCAAGAAAGTACCGATATAGCCCCAGATTCTGATCCACTGTATCCCAGCAGGAGCTTAAAGTGTAGGCAGAAGAGATGACAGTTGTTTACTTCACCAGGACCTCTTTTCTGTTTAAAAATTACGGCTTGGCATTTTAGAGAGACTTAAACTGTGATTAGAGCTGTGGGTTGGTAAATGTGTAGCAGTGTGTCTGATGAAGAAAGCTCAGTTTTTTTTTCTTTTTCCTGCGTCTGTGGTGTGATAATCACAGTCACATGATCATTTGGCCAACGCATACAGAAAGCTGTTCACTAATTACAAGAGGTGGAATTCTCTTCTTACTGATCAACAATCAGGACTCAAACTGTGATTTCAACATTTTCTGTTTTTAGCAAGATTCAAATATGTGGGCTAGGAATAACCTGCAGGAAATATTCGGGTAAAAGAGACGAGGATCAGTAAATATTCAAGAGATGTGTAGCAGACATCAGTCAGATTCTGCTGCATGGCACACAGCATTTCATATTTAACCAAGCAGCAAAAAGGAGGACAGAGCAGCACAGGAGGCATCTTTCAAGATTTTTAAAAAGGGGCATGAGAAATTGTAACCAACTCTGGAAAAATGATCTGAAACACCCATAACCACTTTATTTGAGGGACTTTCTGGTTTTGTACTGGTAGTTCATCCAACTTTCATCTCATTATTTCTTATTTCCACAAAGCTTCAGCTTTATATGAGGCTGCATTTGTTGAGAATTTGTTCTTGCTGATTCACATATTTACTTTCATATACGATCGGCAATGATAAGAGTTAATTTGTATCATTTCAATTTCATTTAAAAAATTTTGGCATTTTTCTTCCCTTGCTGATGATTCAAGTTGATTTTACAGACTTTGTTCTCCCTTTTACTCACATCAAAGCCTTTAGAATTTTGTCAGTGACATCACCACACTGATCCAGGCATCAGGGTCAATGTGGGGTAGTCCAAGGACACGTCAACAACCAATGAACCCATCAAACTGTCAACCTTCTCTGGACTAGTTTCTATCCATATGAGTCACATTTGCCTTTAGAAATACTTGAGCAGCTGCACAACTAGGGTTGTGTTGCTTTTCCTTGATTTATTTTTGGTCACAATTTAAAGACGTCCAAATATAATCTGAATGCAATTATGACAAAAAACAAAGATCTAAACAACAGTTCTGAACGTGAAATTAAATAAACTTTAACAAAACACAGAAAAACTAACTGAAAGTGAAGCCCGGAGTTCATGAAGCAAATAATTGATCAGTGTCTGGAACCTGCGTCAGTCAAGGACAGGACTTGTGAGAAAAAATAAAAAATAAAAACGGGATGAAAAGTGAATAAGTACCAGTTTACCATTGGTCAATGATGTGTCTAATGCTGCCAGTCTAGTAAACTCTTTGGTGTGTGCTGGTTTAGAGCTCAGATTACGCCCGCAGAAAGACATAAAAAATTTTAAKTCAGAAATAAAATAAGTCATTCTGTACATAAATCCAAAATCTATTATTTTGAAACTAGTTTTTACAGTGCTTTTATTTTGAAGACTGCTCTAAAACATTTTTGTCAGGTGCTTCCTGTATGAGAATTAGAATTGACAGTTCTTAATTTGTAAGATATCATAATATATGATTTATGATGATATATGAAAAAGTTTTTTTACTTCTTCCCATTCCTTTTCAAATATGTTAATTTCATTATTATCATTTTTTATCATTGTTTTATTTTGTTTTCCATGTTTGAAATAAATGAATTAAATAAAATAAAATAAATAATATCAGGACAGGAAAAAAAAAAAACAAAGACACAGAACAGAGCGATGTTTTTTAAACCAAGATAACATCTGAGTGTTTGTTTACTGAATTCAGTGACAGAATAGTGAGAATAGTTTGTGGAGAACAGAACGTTGTCAAAACTAGTGATTAGGGTTGGGCAATATTGGCAAAAAATTAATCACGATTAATTGTGGTATTTAGCCGATAACAATTAATTTAACGATTTATGCCCTGGAGTCCCTGGACACCCTTATGTCCTAGTCACATGACTAATTTAGTGGGAACGATTTTCTCTTTGTAAAAATCTGTTCCAAATTGTGTCAAAATTACAGACTTCAGGCTATATATCAATTTTAAATTGTGTTGATGTATAAATAAATTAGAGAACTTGTTTTTAATGTTCGTCATATTTGAAGCAGAGAGGAGAACCGAGCGGACTGACTGGAGAAATCTCCCCTGGTGGCATTAATCATATTAATCGTCAAATGTCAAAAATTAATCGATTAGTGTTCTTCTGACGATTAATTGCACACGATACGATTATGCCCAACCCTACTAGTGATAGCTCAAAACAGCAGCAAATGTAAAGCTGTTCCCTGATGGGGAGTTTATCAGTGTTTCACAGAGTTTTCTCTTTTACCACCAGGACGCAGATTTGATTTAAAAAGATGTCGAAGCAACAGATTTTAGAATTCCTTTTTACCTGCTGTTATTGTCATTTTAAATACTTCTTGTTGATTGTTGCGTGTTTGTAGTTTTTACGCCTATACCATGATGGTTTTCTATGTGTTTTTTTTTTACTGCATTTGTGGTTGATGATTGTTTATGTTCCTGCTGGCTGTGACACAAATTGCCCCACAGGGACATTAAAGATAGCGTGACTTAACTTGACTTGACTTGAACTCTGTCGAAATAAGGGTCTCTGAGAAGAAAGAAACTAGGCGAAAACTTTCCACACAGGAAAAGGCAACAAATTTAAAAACATCCTCCGTCACTGACAATCCCCTGCAGGTGTTCTTCCATCTACCTCAGGTGTGCATGACTTAAGTTTAGAAGTTCAAACTCTACAAAGAATAGATTTATTTTGCTGAAGGAAAAAAAAAAACAAAAAACAGCTACTTTAATTCTTAGCATGTTCAGAATTTTATGCCCAGCTGCAAACTCTATTCTTATCAGCTAATGAATAATATTGTAAGTTTTCATTTTGGCAGAATTGGCTGTTGGATCAGCATTCCACACCAGTCCCAGAAAAAAAAATCTATGTCATAAAAAATGTACTTCAAAGACTTGAAAACTACAAACTACCAGAGAAACAAATGTTTGGAGGCTAGTTCACTCCACAACCTGAAAACACCAAATACATTTTTCTTGAAAAAAAGGAGCTGCATCACTGATGTAATTTTTAACCAGAGTATGTTTCATTTACCTCATTAAGACCACAGAAAATCGTGCTGGCTTATAAAAACAAGCCACAGTATGAGTCCTGCAAAGGTTAGAGGACAGTTTGGGTCTCCGGTGTGTTTTCTGTAGCTGTTAAAAAACTGGAATAATTACCGATGGCCTGCGCCAAAGCAATCACCACTTCCTGGCAGGTGGTTGCCTCCGTGACCCCACACACGACCCTCTGGACGCCATCCACCCAGACCTTGAGCTCCATGTTGGGTCAGAAGTGAGGGGGCCAGTTATGGTGTGTTGGCCCCAACATTATTCAAGGCTGGAATGATGCAGGTTAGCTGAAACCCCTCTGGTTAATTCACTGAGGAGGAAACAAAGGAAAAACAGGAAGCGGTTAGGCAGGATGTAATCAAGGCCGAAGTTAGAAGGTTCCTGTGCTTGTTAGTGCTGGTGGTTCATTTATAAAGAATGAATATGTACAAAACCACCACAAGCTATAAGTAGTAATATAAAGTCAAAACTATAGTCTCACTGAGAGGAGTCAGGTCAGTCTCACCAGTCATTTCTGTTTCTTTACTGCAACTGTTGGGACAGGAAAAATCTGCCAGCTGACAATCTTAAGCTCAGTTCCTGCTTTTGTACACAGAACAAGTGACAACAGAAAGATTACCCCAGTTCCAGTAAAAGAACAGAAACAACGAAAGAATGAAAATATGAAAAGAGCCAGATTTCCAACACAAAAGGAGACAATTCTGTTTATGATATGACAGTTGTTTTTTCCTTATTGTCTTACATAACTACAATTTTGTCTGCATCCTGCACAGATAATTTATCACCCTCCATTGTATATGAGAACAGCATAAACAATAAGTGTTTTCAGAAAAATACATTTATGACTGACGACAAGCATCTCCAAGTTACAAAAACCACAACAAAAAAAAAAAAACTGCATTATTATGAAAAGCCTTTACACAGCATGTTATGTTGACGAATCAAGAGCTCATCGTTGGGTCATATGAAATGTTTTGTTTTGTTGTTGACATTTAAAGATTTATACAATCAGCTAATAATTGTGTAAGTTAATTGTGTTATTTGAATTAAAAAGAAAATAAAGAATAACTGAACACAAAGGAAAGTCTGATCTTGATGAATGGAAGGGATTCTTCAAGATACTCCTCAAGGACGGTCAACCAAGTCAGACGAAATGACCGATCAGTATCGCTCTTTGTAAATCTAACCTTCACTGCTGTGTCAAAAGGTCCTTTTGTTTGCCGCCCCCCCAGCAGTTACACATCCCCCCCAGCTCAGGTATTCCCGATACACATTGGCAAAYTCATCCACACAAGTCGTCCGTCCTTTCCAACGACTTTTCTGAATGTAGTCAAGACTCCAAGCAGCACTGCGAGGCACCAGCAGCAGGAAAATGCAAACAGATGGCACTAGAATAATTATTTTAAATGTTTACTTGTAAAAAGAACTGAAAACACACACCATATGTTTAAGGTGGTAGCTACAAATTTCTTGTTTTTCCAGGCAAAAGCCCAAAACGTTCCCCAGCAGAGCTATTTTTTTTTACAGCCGTCAAACAGAAGAAAACCTTGACTAGTTTCACTCAAATGATTGCTCAGAGCGCACAAGTCCAGTGGGGAAATAAGGACATTGCTGTGCATTTGTAGGTACAAGAGTGTCACCTTTATCGCTTCCCTGCTCACTCTATTCCTGGCACTCACACAGCTGGTTAGAAAGTGCTTTTATCCCACTTTCAGACAGCCCTTAAATGGTAGTAAAGCACTGAAGGATGGAAAGAAACTGGAAAAATCTGCACAGACAAGCATACTGCAAGGTTATTTTTTGTACTGTAACCCAAAACGCCGTCATTTTGTTCAACTCCTTGTAAAAGGTGCTGTAAAAACATTAAACGTGTTTGAGTCCCGAGGCAAAGTGAGCACAGTGGACCAGCCAGGGAAAAGGAAATTAGATAAATTGAGAGCGGAAAGTAATGAAGAAATACAAACTGCAACATAAGTTTGTGTTTTTTAGTCTAGTGTTAGAAAAACCTGTCATARTCAGAGTACAGGATGACTCAAATGTTATTTCTTTGACTGTAATTTGTTAACTTTACCCMAAACCTAACTGATGATGCAGGCACAGCGGTGCAGAGCAGAGGACCAGCCTGAGCTCTCCATTTCGCTGGCCCGTCAAAGCCACAGCCTGGGGGGAAGCCCACCTCCTGATTGGTGCAGCTCGCCTTTTGCCAGAAAGGCATTTCGTGAGGCAGATGGGCATGTGCTTTTCTGCAAGATCTAATTAAGCTCAGCCGCGATGATAAAACTTCACTGAAACCTAAATCCGACAAGATTTCGGTGTCGGCACGCATTTGTTTTGAGTTTTGTGCATTCCTCTCTRGAGCGTCGAGGTGTGTTTGTGAGCAGAAGTGAACAGCCTGCCTCCCCGGCTGCTGATGACAACTCTCCAGACTTACAGGAGGAGCAAGCTGGCAGAGAAAAGGCTTCAACTGGCTGCGGGTGTGAGCTTTCAACCATATGCTCATGTGGGTGTTTAAACAGAAGCAACATACAGCAGAAACAAACAGTACAAAAATACTTGGGGTATTTAKCTTTATTTAGTGGATTTTCAAGAATAAAAAAAACTGGTCATGTATTGTTCTGTTCTGTGTTTTATTGAACACAGGGAGCAACACAAAACGGGCATTCATTATGTTAAAATAAAAGAAAGCCTGAGGAAAAATGATCTCACAGGAAACCTTTATTGTTCCACGTTTACTGCCTCACAAACACATGCTATTTAAGCTTCTGCTCACCATTGTTCACCGTGCAAGTCCTGAAACAGGCGAACAAGAGTAATGTGAGGATTGTAATTGTGAAGGAATTTATTAGGAATGCAATCAATGAGCTCATGACTGGAATCGAACTACTTTTATATTAACTGACTTGACCAGCGATCAGCTGAACACACTCATAAATCCTAAGTTTTTCCAGTTTTGTGAACATGGCAAAATATTAACCTGTGTTAGCAAAGAATGTCTTCAGTATGGAAGTTGTTACAGAGTGAAGACTATGCAGACATACTGCAGATCTTAATTCCAATTTTTTTTTTAAATGTGGTCATATTATAATTTAAATACGACTGTCATCACAGTGTGTGAACGAGTGGCACAGAAGAAGACGGGATGTTGCAGTACGCCGTGTTTGCAGAAGTAAATACGGATGCTGCACATGTTGGCGTGTGTCGCTCTGCTCTGAAGTTGTGCAATCAGGGCGACAAAATCATTAATTGCTATGCTCGTTTTGTCCAATGTTTACATTTGAGCTCGCCTTTTCCTGCCTACTCAGGTGTAGAATTGCACTTACGGAACAGAAGCAATGGGCCTCATGCAAGAACATGTTCGTACTCTTATCCTAAATTTCTCTTACTTTTGTTCGTACAAAGGGTTAGTACGAACATGTCACGTCAGATTCAACAAACTCTTCTATCTTCAGGAAAAGGGTGTAAATGAGCTGTGTAAATTCCACCTGTTCGTACCCAGCTGCTCGTGCACCCGAGAGGAGATTAGCATAATTACCACCCCAAAAACACCATATAAGGCTATGTTTCCTGCCTCAGATACAAGGAAGTGTTCATTCATGAAAATGACAGCGAAAATTTACGAATTCAGAGATTGAAGCTTGTCTGTCAGAGATCCTGAAGAGAAAATCTGTCATTTTAGCAGCTCAGCTGTGGAATAAAAAGAGCTGCTAAAAGTATAAACAACTGTGTTAAATCTTTTTCATTTATTCAGAAGCCATGGTGCTGCACACAACTTAACAAATCTGTGTGTACGAACGGTTCTTGCATGAGGCCCAATGTATTGAAAGCGAGTAGCTCCTGAACTGTGGAATCAGCTGCGCCTCAACAACAAAACAGGCCTCAAACCTTGGTGCTTTTAARTTTCTTTTAAACACATTTTTACTCACTGGCTTTTAATACAATAAGATAATTTACTTTTTTTGGTTCTATTTAATAGTTTTATTTTGTTTATTTTTTAAAAACCATTCTTGTAATTTGTTGCTTTTGTTCACAGCACCTTGTTCAACAGCAGTTGTTTACTAATGTGTTGTATAAACAAATCTATTGAWACAATCCAACACGTTGGTAAAACGCCATTATTTACTGCACCGGCATTCAGCGGGACAGTATTTGGACAGCTGAATAAAAGCTACAAGCTTGCAGTTCAGTGTCACAACAATAAGGGGTGGGCAAATCAAGCACATCCTAACACACCTCATTTATAGTTTTGGTGGAGCGTTAGCCCTGTAGGAGACAAGTGAAAGTGTTGATGAGGTGTTTTATGCACATCTAAAAACTGCAGCATTTTTTGTAACACTGCTTTAACTATTAGCTGTTTGAAATMAATCTAAACGGGCTACAATCTGTACAAAATCTGCCTAGAATACTCAGAATTTTAAGAATTTACTGCACGTTATAGCAGCTCAATAAAAAATACAGTTAAAAGGTTCCTGACTTCTAAAACTCTAACTTCATTAAATAGAAAAACYTGTTTCTTACAAACTTGAACAAGATGAGTCTAGAGCTTAAATCCTCTTGCTTGTTAATTACCAAACTGTGCACCCTGTAGAGTAGCATATAATTACAAGCAATTTATACTGTGCTGTAATTGGCAACAGATCTGTTGTGAAARAGAATCTCAGCGAGCAACAAGAGCCAGACACTGATTTTATTGTGGAGGCACTGGTGGTGGCTGGGTTGGAACAAACTGCAGAAATCGTTTTRGGTTCTCTCGAATGCTCCCGGGGTGTGACGACTGCACAAACACKGCTAATCTTTAGGCCTAAATCAGCAAAGAATGGCGACAATTTGCGATTATTGCACATGTTGACAGCTCAACATCCTGCATGGCTAATTGGGATCGCAAAGTTCTCTTCGTGCCAGCACCAGTGTGTACACAATGCCCTCTGCAAGTGTAAACATTACAGAGCATGGTAAAGACCAGAAGAAGGCCTTGATCCTGCAGAGCGGGAACTGATAAGAGCCAGGAGATGCATTCCTGTGCTGTGAGAGAGCAACTGGCCGTGACTGCGAGATAAGAAAGTTATGGGTCCGTTTCTGTTCTGTGATCCTGGAAGCGAACTACTGAGAGAAAATGACACTTTAACAGAACACATTAAATCTTAGGTATTTAAGTGGTATTATTAGAAATATGGTTTGAACGTTTTTTTGTCTAAAACTAATAGAATGGATTAAATCGGCAACCAAGTGACTTACTTTAGAAAAATAAAACCAATAAACTTTTTTTAAATAGCAGTGATTTTCACATCTTTCTCCAGATTTAAGTCAAATGTT